TAATACTACAATTATATTAAGTTATATTTGTCAAAATTTATTTTATTATAAAACATGAATTACATTATAAAATTTATTAAAATTTATTATATTATTTAAAATTAAAATAAAAAAGAAATTATCATATTAAAAATTATTAATTATTAATATTTGCAGATGCATTAATTATTTTATTAATATCATAATCTTTATTATTTTCAATTACTATATATACCATATTATTATTATTTTTATCTGAAAATTTAGTAAAATCTAATATTTCTTCAACTTGTAAATTCTCTCCATTATCATTTGTAAAATCATAATTATCAGCCAATTTAATAATCAAAAATAATAAAAACTTGACCATTCTATTTAAAAACTAATAAAAATAATAAAACAAATGAAGTATACCTACCTTTAGTTCTATAAATCCCTTTTAGACCTTGAAATTACTTTTCTTTCTTGTCTAGAATCTAGACTCTAGATCTATAAATGGTACTGCGCCACCTAATTTAATTATAAAAACTGAATTAAAAATAATCAAAAACAATAGTTAGTACTTGTATACACGAAGAAACAATAAAATAAACATCCCAATACTTCTGCTAATCTTCCTAAACTTTGAATATCTTATAATTTTAATTTATTTTTAATCTTACCAATCTATAATAAAAATAGCCAATTTAGTATATTTATTTGTTTATTTGATAGACTTTTATTATATATCACAAATCACCTGACCCAACTATCTATTGTAATAAAAATAAAATGATTATGACACAAATTTTGACCAATCAAATAATTTCAGCAGCCTCGGCAGCCTAAAATAATAACGGCAACTGAAAATAATAATAGCGGCCGAAAATAATTTCGGCAGTCTAAAATAATTTTGGTAACCGAAAATAATAACGGCAGCCGAAAATAATAACAGTAGCCAAAAATAATTATGGCAGCCGAAAATAATTACTGCAGCCAAAAATAATAACGGCAGCTGAAATTATTTTCGACATTTTTGGATTTTGAAAGGTAATGCCGAAAATATTTTCGGTTGCCGTAATGCCGTAATGTCGTAATTCTGACCTAATTTTGGCACCATCTATACATGTGCATATTGTTTATACTGATTACTTTTGTCAAGAAAATTATGTTTCCATTCCAATTTGAAATACAGATCACTTTTGTCAAGAAAATTATTTCAAAGAATTACTGTTATATAAGAAAAAAAATAATACATGATATATTATACATTTCTCTAATCAAAATCTTTATTAATAAAAATACATTATAAAAATATAAAAAAATAGATTAATCATCTTGACAATGTTTCGGACATCCTCTTGTACATTCATTGTTATCATCATTACCACTGCCATAATTATTATCTTTGAAAAAATCAAAATTATCATATAATGATTGTTGTGATAGTGATGGTGATAGTTGTTGTCGTGATGGTGATAGTAATAATTGTTGTGGTGGTGACTGTTGAAATGATGATGATGATTTACTTTTTTTACGTTTTTTAGTTACATGACCATAATTGTATTTTATTCCTGGTCTTTTACTGCGAAGATTATAAGGTGGTTCTGATGATGTTGTTGTTACTATTGATGATGATAATGATGATGATGATAATATTGTTGTATTATTATTATCTTCGCTGACATTGTTGATATTACCATTATTGTCATTATTATTTTTATTGTTATTATTATTATTTTCATCAATATTATCATCACCATTATTGTTATTGTTGTTATTATCAATATTGTTATCATTGTCACTATTATTATTATTACTATTACTACTATTATCATCATCATTAACCCATTTTCTTTTTTTTTGTTTCATAGAACCACCAACAATGCTATTATTGTTATTATCTTTACTATTATTGTTATTATTATTATTACCGCTATTATCATCATTGTCATTATTGTCATTATTATTATCATCATTATAATTGTTATTGTTATCATCATCATCATTATTATTGTTATTATTGTCATTATTATCTTCGTTGACATTGTTATTATTATTGTTATCATCATCATCATCATTATCACTAGTGTTGTCTCCATTATCTTCATGTCTAGGATCATCATCATAATTATCACCATTATTTTCTAAAAATTGATCATGTCTAGGATCATCATCATAATTATCACCATTATTTTCTAAAAATTGATCATGTCTAGGATCTTTATTAACTGAATCTTTATCCGAATTTGCACCTTCAGAGACTATTTTCCATTTACTTGAATTTTTAGTGAGATCATCTTGTTTCGTTTTTATTTTATTGTTGATTTCAAATAGTGTGTACAGAATGCGGTCTTTTTCTATTTCATAGTCCAAAAGTTCTTGTTTCTAAATTCCAGAAGAATAATTAAAAGTTATCTAAGGCTGATATATAAATGCAAAATAAGTGGTTTACTTACTATTTTACATGCATCAATTACTTCATTCCAATAAGTTTCGAAGTTATAACGTTTTCGTTCCAAGTTGACCTATTGTAAAAATACATTTATCAATGTTAACAGTGTGTAATTTTCTATTTAGTGATAAGGGCATGCCAAAAATCAAATGGTTTAGGGCGAACCCTATAGTATAGAGAAATCAGATGATAAAC